AACTAAAACCCAAACGTGCACACACTTAAACCAGTTAAGATCCCTTTTTATTTAAAATAATTGTAATTAAGAGGACAGTCCCTCAATATGAGAGATTTGGGTTCTGTGCCTAATTCAGTCAGTTGTCTTTGTCCTTGTCACCTCCTTTCTTTTCTCTCCATCATCATCTGAGGACTTGAGCCAATGGCCCTGCTTAGCTTTCCATAGAGATCAATTTGTTGGTCACTAGGATTTATTAAACGCCTCTTACAGGGAAGGTGCCCAGATAATAATTGCTGCCTTAGGCAAACACTGGCTCCCTGTTCACCCCAACTTTTCCTCCTTCTTTCTGGGCACATAGCTAAGCCACCTTTCATAGCTTCCCTTGCAGCTGGGACTGAGTTCTAGTTAGAGAACATGGCCAGTGCCATTTCGAGGCCAGGCCTAGGGAGCCCCTCTTGTCCTCCCCAAAAGCAATCAGTAACGTGGCCAGAAGATGTCAGTGCCACAGGATGGAGTGGTCCCTGAGTCACCACCTGGATCAGAGCTGCTCACATCAGGAATAGACACTTTGTACTCATTGAGGCTTCGTCTGCATTAAGTGGCTAAAATCGGGGTTTGCCTGTTATTGCAGCTGCAGTTATATTAACTTGCACACTGTCTCTGCCCTAAGCCATAGGATCCTTCTTAACTGTCTGTGGGAGGGATGCAGACCTGTGAGCCATCTTTCAATCATTCGGTGTCAACATGCAAAGACACAGATTGAAGTCTGAAAAGGAAGATGGAAGCCGCATGATTTTCTACCGTTTGTTTGTTTTGGTTTTTTTTTTAGCTTTTTGAATATAGTCGAAGATTTTTTTTTTTCCCTCTCCTTTTAAGGGAGTGGAAAACGTTTTCTTTTTTTTTTTTTTTTTTTTTCTTTTTTTTGAGACGGACTTTCGCTTTGTGGCCCAGGCCAGAGTGCAATGGCATGATCTCGGCTCACTGCAATCTCTGCCTGTTGGGTTCAAGCAATTTTCCTGCCTTGACCTTCTGAGTAGCTCGAATTACAGGCACCCCTCACCATGCCCAGCTAATTTTTGTCTTTTTTTAAAAAAGACAGGGTTTCACCATGTTGGCCAGGCTGGTCTCAAACCCCTGGCCTCAAGTGATCCACCCACCTGGCCTGCCAAAGTGTTGGGATTATAGGCACGAGCTACCACGCCCGGCCATGGACTGGAAAAAATATTTAAGGCTTTACAACCTAAGTTACAAAACTAGGAGAGATCTTCAGCACCCACTGTGACGGCAAAGAGAAGAGAAAGAAGGACACCTGCATTAGCACCTTTCACAGCACAGTCACGGTCACATGAGCATGGCCAGCCAAGCTCTAGGACAGGCAATGCCTCTTCCACCACCTTGCTCCTCACAGGGCAGGGTCCCATCAGATGTCTTCTGTGGTCCCCAGATCTGTCCACTCAACTCTCAGTCATCACTCAGTAGAATATGAAGTTGAGGATTCATGCTCAGACCATTTGCCCCCACTTTCCACGGGGTCCCTGTCACTGTTTTGACAGCTCTTCTTTTCTTAACATTTATTTTTATGGAGGTAAAATAGACATACATAATCTACCATCTTTATCACTATTCAGTGTACACCTTGGTGGTAATAAGTGCATTTGTATTCTTTCTTTTTCCCTTCAGGCCCCCTCGCCTTCCCCTTCTCTGGTGACCCCCACTCTACTCTTTACCTCCATGAGATCCACTTCTTCAGCTCCCACGTAGAAGTGAGAGCCTATGACATCTGTCTTTCTGTGCCTGGCTCATTTCACATAAAATAATATCCTCCAGATCCATCCATGTTGCCGCCAATAACAAGATTTCATCTTTTTTATGTCTGAATAGTACTCCATTCTGCATATAAACCACATTTTCTTTATCCATCCATCAATCTAGGGACCCTTAGGTTGTTTCCAAATCTTTGCTATTGTGACTAGTGTTGCAATAAACATGGGAGTGCAGCTATCTCGTTGTCATTTTGATTTCTTTTCTTTGGGGTACATACCCAGCAGTGGGATTGCTGGATCCTGTATCTCTATTTTCAGTTTTTTGAGAAACCTCCATGCTGTTCTCCATAGTGGTTGTACTAATTTACATTCCCACCAACAGTGCACAACAGAGAACGAGAGTTCCCTTTTCTCCACATCCTCGCCATGGCAGGTCCTCTGAGGACACACAGGGCTCTATATAAAATTGTTCTTACCATTTTCATCTGATCAAAACCTGCATGCAGGCAGGTAGCTGGATAGGCCTCATAAATGAGTCCCTGTTAATGCTAAGGTGACTGACAGCCGCACATCTCACTGACAGAGTCTGACCCTCGTAGAGCACTAAAGAATACCCTGGTCAGGGCCCCTCATCATGAGGGGCCCAGGGGAGGGACCGACCTGCTAGGCAATGGTGGGCGTGAGGCCAGAGCCCGGATCTCCTACCCTGGGCCCCTAACCGTCCCCCTTACCCTACCTGTCCCAGAGGGAGCTCATGCAGTGAACCATGATCACTGCACTCCAGCCTGGGTGACAGAGCAAGATCCTGCCTCGAAAATGGAAAGAAGGAAGATGAGAAGAAAGGAAAGAGATAAAGAAAGAAAGAAAGAAAGAAAGAAAGAAAGAAAGAAAGAAAGAAAGAAAGAAAGAAAGAAAGAGAGAAAGAAAGAAGAAAGAAAGAAAGAAAGAAAGAAAGAAAGAAAGAAAGAAAGAAAGAAAGAAAGAAAGAAAGAAAGAAAGAAAGAAAGAAAGAAAGAAAGAGAGAAAGAAAGAAGAAAGAAAGAAAGAAAGAAAGAAAGAAAGAAAGAAAGAAAGAAAGAAAGAAAGAAAGAAAGAAAGAAAGAAAGAAAGAAAGAAAGAAAGGAAGGAAGGAAGGAAGGAAGGAAGGAAGGAAGGAAGGAAGGAAGGAAGGAAGGAAGGAAGGAAGGAGAAGGGAAAGGAAAGGAAGGGAAAGGAAAGGAAGGGAAAGGAAAGGGAAAGGAAAGAAGGAAGGGAGGAAGGAAAGAAGGAAGGAAGGAAGGAAGGAAGGAAGGAAGGAGAAGGGGAAAGAAAGGAAAGGGAAAGGAAGGAAGGAAGGGAGGAAGGAAAGAAGGAAGGAAGGAAGGAAAAGAGAGAGGGAGTGAGGAAGAGAGGGAGGGAGGAAGGAAGGAGAAAGAAAGAAAGAAATCCTTTATCTCTATAAGACTGGGAAGACTTAGAGAGACTTGGGAAGTCCACCAGAATTGGACACTACAAGGAACAGGATTTGCCCCTGAACGCTTCGGGAATATCAGATGAAAAAAAGAAAACAAAACAGTTTTTGAGCAGCCACCATGTGCCAGACATTGATCTAAATATTGAAGACAGGGGCGGAGGCATGGCTCACAGCTTTCAGCGGCTTAAGGAGCAAAAGTGAGAGAAAGAAAGAGGAGAGAGAGAGAGGAGATAATATATTAAAATAGGCACATACATTCAAATAGCTTTATGCCAAAACCAATTTGGGATTTTTGTTTAAAGTTTGGACCAACTGCCTTGATACCCTGCAGATACACCAAGCAGGCTGTTATTCTCCACGTTTGAGGGTATTTCATCATCAAGGTCTTCTTTAGAAGAGTCAAAGTGCCCATCGTCTTGATGAGGAGTTGGTTCACCTTTTTTGTTATTTGCTGGAGTGAAGGGTGGTGCCGCTCCTCAGCCCTTCCATACTTGGAAACCAGGGAATAGTCATCTATTTCTGAACTACACGCAGATGCCTCTTTCCTCTCTTGATTAGGGTGAGCAGGTTAATCCCGTCCCATAGCAAATGTCTGCTCTACTGTATCCTCCCACCTGCCTGATTTCGGCCAGCACTAAACTTGGACGTCACACCTGAACTTGGGCAGCACCTAGATCAAAGCCAGAATGATGCTAAGCCGTGCAGAAAGGCCTGGCTCGGAAGCCCAGCCCAAGACCTGGGGCAGTTGTCTGTTGCTACACAAAATTCATAAACACAGACTGTGCCTTCCACAATACCCATGGTTTTTTTCATCTTCTCCACTGGAACATGAAGATTCTCAGGGAAGTCTGAATTGTATGACTCTCTGAAGGGCACAGACAAAGCCTGAACTAAAAAACTTGTGACAAATCTATGGTCACTCCTCTACAGCAAAAGCACTCCCTCTACGCAGTGAGGACAGCCACCCAGCATACACACACAGGGACAACTCATCCTACATCCTGTGCACTTTACACCCATACACAGGAATAGTATACGATGCCCCCCCCAAACCAACTGTTTATTAGCCATATTTTCTGCATTTGTCATTTCTGCTCTAACACAATGATGTATGAAGCATGATATTATAATGCAATCAGCATTAATTTTTTATATGGTTTGGTTGTGTCCCCACCCAAATCTCAACTTGAATCGTAGCTCCCATAGTCCCCGCGTGTTGTGGGAGGGACCTGGTAGGAGGTAATTGAATCATGGGGCGGGTTTTCCCCTGCTATTCTCATGATAGTAAGTCTCACAAGATCTGACCGTTTTATACAGGGGAGTTCCCCTGCACATGCTCTCTTGCCTGCCACCGTGTAAGGTGTGACTTTGCTCCTCCTTTACCTTCTGCCATGATTGTGAGGTCTGCCCAGCCATGTAGAATTGTGAGTCCATTAAACTTCTTTTTCTGCCGGGCACAGTGGCTCATGCCTGTAATCCCAGCACTTTGGGAGGACAAGGTGGATGGATCACGAGGTCAGGAGATCAAGACCATCCTGGCGAACATGGTGAAACCCCATCTTTACTAAATACACAAAAAATTAGCCAGGCCTGGTGGCGGGCGCCTGTAGTCCCAGCTACTCGGGAGGCTGAAGCAGGAGAATGGTGTGAAACAAGAGGGTGGAGCTTGCAGTGAGCAGAGATCACGCCACTGCACTCCAGCCTGGGCGACAGAGTGAGACTCCGACTCAAAAAACGAAAAAACAAAAAAACAAAAAAAAAATCTTCTTTTTCTTTATAAATTACCCAGTCTCGGGTATTTCTTCATAGCAGTATGAAATGAACTGATACAATTTTATTAAGGGGTTAGGAGAAGTTTAAGGTCTCTCTATTTATGACATGCATAACAGATGTTTCTTTCATCCAAAGCAGAATAATAAAAACAAAAAAACCTCATAATTCACTAGAAAATATTAAACATTAATATACTAACGGAAGAAAACATGCCTTACATGAAATACATGGCAAAGAATTTGATAGCAGAACCGGGAGAGTGTGACCGACAGAACCAACTCACCATTATCAGAAAGGCGACTCCAGTTCATCACTTTAGTTTTGCTGGGACATTGAATGTCATGTGCTTTTTTAAAAAAATAAAAAAGTGTTATCTAAATTAAATCCTTACTGAGCATATATCTCCTGTGATGTCCGTGTGTCCCCAGGTCAGCTCGCCCTTCTGCCAGGTGCCAAAGTGAGTGTGCATCAGCACAGGCATTCCCGTGTGCACAGGACAGCTGGGCTCTCTCAGCTCTGCATTGTGCTTTTTTTTTTTTTTTTTTTGACAGGGTCTCACTCTGTTCCCCAGGCTGCAGTGCAGTGCCATGCCATGATCTTGGCTCACTGTAGCCTCAATCTCCCAGGCTCAAATGGTCCTCCCACCTCAGCCCTCCAAGTAGCTGGGACTACAGGCGGGAGCCACTGGGCCCAGCTAATTTTTAGATATTTTGTAGAGACGAGGGTCTCACTATGTTGCCCAGGCTGGTCTCAAACTCCTGGGCAAGGAGATACATTCTCAAGTGATCCTCCTGCTTGGGCCTCCCAAAGTGTTGGGATTACAGGCGTGAGCCCCGGGACATGGCCAGGTGCTGTTTTTTTCACACCCACTCAGACTTCCTGGCTCTCAGGTGGGGAGCACCAACGGAGCTGGCAGGCGGGTCAGGGGCCTGCAGGCGGCTGCAGGAAGGGTGCGCCGCTAAGTGGCTGGGGGCTGCTGAGGGCTGCTCCTCGGATCCTGAGCCCCTTGGGTCCTGGGCGGCCTCTCGGTAGGGCCTGCCCCGGGGCTGCCTGCCCAACTTTTCGCTGGCGGAGGATGTCACCTCACTCTCATCCTCATCCGGAATCTTCGTGTGCCCTGACACCCTGGATGTAACCCTGGGGCTGCCTGCCCCCTCCCCTCTGGCGCGTGCAACCCGGGGCGCAGGCGCCCCCTCTTGCTCCCGCCCACCCTCCTTGTCCGTCGGGCGTCCCTCGGGGTGGCCAGGGGCTCCGCTCTGCTTCCGGATGGAGGGGCTCGTCGGGGGTCCGGGCCTCCTGCGCATCCGCCGCCGCAGGCTGCAGACCAGGTCCGCGAGGCCCAGCAGGAAAGACAGTGCGCTGACCGCCCAGAGGAACAGCATCAGCAGGGACTTCTCCGTGGGCCGCGACACGTAGCAGTCCACCACGCCAGTGCACGGAGGACGCGTGCAAGGGAACTTATTTGGGGCCAGGAACCCAAAGAGAAGGTAGTGCAAGGCCCCGAAGGCTGCCTCCAGCAGGGTCCGCAGGAGGAGGTGGATGATGTAGCCGGCCGAGAAGTCGGGCACCTCGAGGCCGCCGCGCTCCCTGCAGGACCCCGGGCAGCGTCTCTGCCCGGAGGCCGTGTCCCGGGGTTCGGGGCAGCGGCGGGGGCCTAGCGCGGCTAGCGTGGCTCCTTGGTGCAGGACATAGACGCTGAAGACAGCGGAGGGGAGGAGGACGCACACGCCCTGGATCAGCCAGAACCGCAGGTGAGACACGGGGGAGAAGACGTCATAGCAAACGTTGGCGCATCCCGGCTGCAGCGTGTTGCAGACAAATCTCTCCTGCTCGTCCTGGTAGACGGGGCGCCCCGCCAAGACGATCACCAGCATCCGCAGCAGCATCGTGAGGACGAACCAGAGCTTTCCTGGAAGAGAGGAAGCAGGCATAGCCTCATCACCCCGGAATACACTGCCTTGAACAACAGTTTTAAAGTTTCTATTGGGGCTGAGATTGGGGAACTGAGACGTCAGTAAGCACGTCTTTAGTTTTCTGTTTGTTTGTTTGTTGTACATAGGGTCGTGCTATGTTGCCCAGGCTGGTCTTGAACTCCTGACCTCAAGTGCTCCTGCTGCCTTGGCTTCCTAAGTAGCTGGGATTGCAGGCATGAGCCACCACACCTGTCAGCTTGTCTTTACTCACAGCAAGAGTATCAGGTAGTTCATTTGACAAGTATTTATTGAGCACTGAACATCCTTGTTTGTAAGATGCTTCAAGATGAGCAGATTTTTTAAAAGCATTATATAAAAAGTGTTTTAATCTGTCTGCTAATTCAGACTTTTGGTAATGTCTCCTGGACTGACAGATCCAGAAAGAAAGTTTGGCTGAGCAAATTAATGATGTAAATAAGATTTAAATTTTCTTCTTAGGAGAATAAGCCTTTTAAAAGAGGTTGGCATATTTCTGTAACTGTGTATAGCCAATTCGAGCTGCTGATTTCAGTAAATCTTCTTACTTATGACAACAGTCCAGGGATCTCTATTTAATCACAGGGCTTGTATTTAATGTTAGTCTATGGCCTTTGAAATTGAATTTCTTTATGAACATTCCATTGTTCAGATTTTTTTAATCATTCAGAATTCCTCTTCCCCTTTTCCAGCTATTAAGAATGAATGAGGCTTGTCTTTCTTCAATGTATGGTGACTGAGTGACACCAAGCTGGGAAACCAAAATAACTGTCAAGCCCTATTTTCATGGCACCGACCAACTGTTTCAAAACGTGTTTAAAACTCAGCCAAAATAACTTGTGAATATTGTGTTTTGAAATGAGAGAAACATCGCCTGACATCAGAAAAACAAAACAAAACAAAAATAAATAAATAAAGACAGTCAAACAAAGAATAATATCACTACATGATGAGTCATTGAGTTGAACTTTTAACATCAAGTTGATCTTGTCTAAATCTACAAAACAATGAGCCGGGAAAGTATCAACCACATCTCTGGCATATATTCATCCTTTGCTGACCCCCATACCTCTCTGAAAATGTGAGTCATCTACATTAAACAAAAATCTGTTATTTTCTTTGTTAAAAAAAATAACTAAACTAAACTTGGGATTTGGTTTAAAGTGCACAAGAGAAATGGTTACTCCTTAAAAATTAAGCTTCCAGGCCAGGCATGGTAACTCACGCCTGTAATCCCAGCACTTTGGGAAGCCGAGGCAGGTGGATCACAAGGTCAGGAGATCGAGACCATCCTGGCTAACACGGTGAAACCCTGTCTCTACCAGAAACACACAAAAAATTAGCCAGGCGTGGTGGGATGTGCTTGTAGTCCCAGCTACTCGGGAGGCTGAGGCAGGAGAATCACTTGAACCCGGGAGGCAGAGGTTGCAGTGAGCCGAGATCGCACCACTGCATTCCAGCCTCGGTGACAGAGTAACACTCTGTCTCCAAAAACAAAAAAAAAAAAAAAATTAAGCTTCCAGGATAAAACCTAAAGGCATCACTTTCTCATTAACATTTGCTGTTCTGTTCCTTTTCCTGGTAATGTAGCCACACCAGGGTTGCACACAAATACCCCTCCACCTGCTTCAGTCTTCGGAGTCAGCACCCCAGTGTCAGCACAGGAGGGCCTGTGAGAGAACAATGTCACACACAAGACCCTTACATGACAGAGGAACCGCGGAACCATTCAAAAAAAATAGAAGCCTCAGCTCTCTTTCCTCCCTTTGTTTTGGCAGTGCGTGAACTTTCAGCTTGGTGCCTGCACACTGAAAATGAGGAAATACCTGGACCCTTTAAGGAGGACTCAATTCCACCATGGCAATGGAAACAAAAACTGCGCGGGAGTTTGGAGACAGTCCCAATACTCACCCACCATGGTCACGTTGCAATTTAGTGTGATGATGAGAAACCCTAGCAAGTCCACGCCTTCCATGCTTCCAGAATGTCACAGGCTCCAGGCTGCAGGAGACACTGGAGGGCGTGTTCTCCAAGGAGGTGGAAAAATCCTTGCCTGGATAAATGTCCTTTAATTACAAAAGACTTAAAGGTGTGAGCTGGAGATAAGAAAGCAAAGCTTTGAGCCAGGAGTAGGAGATGGGTTTTTCTGTCTCCAAGTTGAGACGGCCCTAAGCCTCTGAGGCAAAACATTCCCGACAACTGCAGTGACCGGCAGAGCAAGCAGCAGTCATCTCTTATTGTGGGCTATTCTTACCCGCCTAGGATATTCCAGGCCTGTGGCAGCGCTCATATGTCCCCATCAGGATAGCCAGATGCTTCAGGATATAATAGCAGCAACTACTTTTAACCCAAGAAAGAAAAACTTCTGCTAACTAGTCAAGTAAATTTTTCTATTACAAAGGCATTTGCTCCTTGAAAACATTTCCACAACCACTTCACTTGTGCAAGAAGCCCTTAAAGTGTTCATGTTTTGTCTTAAAGAAGTGTTCATGTTTTGTCTTCTCAATCAAGCGTGAATCGCCATGCCACCATCACACGAGCCCACAAGGATCTCACCCTTATTCTGAATTCCTGTATCATGGGTGCAGGCAGAAATCTGTATCTCAGTTGGGTGTCCCAACTTTAGACCGTGACTTGGTTATTCTCCTGCTGCTTCCTGTGCAGTGAGTGACAGCTCTTCCCTTAGAGACAAAAGCCTGGGTGCAAAGCTGGGGGCAGTCCCCAACTCACTGGGGAAGTCATTGGATCCTTCCAGACAGTCTCATCTTGCAATAAGGAGAATCATGCCATTCCACTCGGCATTTGTGGGAGGTTTCTGTGAAATGATGGCATAGAATAAGAGCAACTGGTGTGAAGTGGGTGTATGATAACCCGTATCCGTGGTATTTCAATCCCTCACTGGCCCCTACGACCTTCACAGATTACATCTTCCCTTTGTATCGCCCAGCCCCATCTAGCCTGGAGCTGTTCCCATTGAATCTACTTAATAAATGTCTGTTAAATTTGTCATGAACTATCATGGTCTGGACCTGCTGACATCAATCACAGTTGCATCAAAATCCTATCGCCGCAGCCACCTTCATATCTGGGAAGAACCCATCCTGCAGGGTTGGGGAGCTATGATCAGGGTGGAAATTGTAAACTTGAAAAGGAATGATTTCAATTTTCCATGAAAGCTATTCTTTATATCCCCATCTTTTCTTCATTTCTGATCTATTCTTGACTTTAGTAATATCCCTAGAAAGATTCCCAGAAGAGTGCAACAAAGCTACTTTCATCTTTACTCACATGACACGCTCCCATCCATGGAAAACGTTTTGACCCCCTTGAAAGGAACAGTGGTTTTGCTATATTTTAGTCAAATGCTCCGACATGAGCAATGAAATTGGAGAAATTGTAGTTAAGTAAAAATATTGAAATAGTCACAGGGTGTATAAAATAAAGGAGAATTTGTCTCCTAATAGACTGCTTATGGTATTGGCTTTTTAAAAAAAATGAAATATCAGGAAAGCAATTACTGAATTTGCTGTGTGCTAGAAATAGCCTGTCCCAAATGCAGAATAAATTAGCACTGCGTGACCATGAGCAAATCAGTGGAGCTCTTCATGCTTCAGTTTTCTCATCAGTGAAGCAGGAAAAAAGAATGTATTCTTCACCCACTCACAGTGACTGTGATATGCAAAATGGGACCAGAGATGTGAAAATGATTTTGAAATGTAAAGAATGACCCAGTGTCAGTGACAGGTGCATCTCAGGGTCAGCTCCTCTGGTCCCACCCTTCAGCGCATCTTCTGAGCAGCCCACGCCCACCCACCTCCCTTCTCATCCTGGTCACCTTTGCTCTTCCTCCTTGAAGTCTACCCCATCCCCATTCGTTGTCTTTTTTCTCTTTCTCCTTTTTTCCTCTCTCCTGCTAGGTGACATTTTGCTTTACTTGGAAATCCTAACTCTGGCCAGGCCCAGTGGCTCACACCTGTAAATTCCAGCACTTTGGGAGGCCGAGGCGGGTGGATCACTTGAGGTCAGGAGTTCGAGACAAGCCTGGCCAACATGGTGAAACCCCATCTGTACTAAAAATACAAAAATTAGCCAGGCATGGTGGCGGGCACCTGTAGTCCCTGCTACTTGGAAGGCTGAGGTAGGAGAATCACTTGAACCCAGGAGGCAGAGGTTGCAGTGAGCCCAGATCGCACCACTGCACTCCAGCCTAGGTGACAGAGCGAGACTCTGTCTCAAAAAAGAAAAGAAATCCTAACTCCAATGGCTACGTGAAGCTAGCTAGAGGTAAGGGAAGCAGAGAAGGTAGAGGCGTCTGGGCATCAACTCCCTACTGTCTCTGTAAGAGCATCCCAGCGCCAATGGGGACGTTTCTGAATGTGTATGTGGAATAGAGAGAAGATGTGGGGAGTACTGTGTTCAACCCACGGCCAAAGAAACCAGCTGGGAGTCAGGGGCTGAAGTGTACAAGATGCCAAAGTGGGAGAGTTCACTAAACGCAGGTGGTCAGCACGGGCCCTGTGGCTCACATCTGTAATCCCAGCACTTTGAGAGGCCGAGGATGGAGGATCACTTGAGGCCAGGAGTTCAACACCAGCCTGGGCAACATAGAGAGTCTCATCTCTACAAAAATGTCTTTAAATTAACCAAGTGTTGGCATGCTTGTAATCCCAGCCACTCAGGAGGCTGAGGTGGGAGGATCAGTTGAGCCCAGGAGGTCGAGGCTGCAGTGAGCCATGATCATGCCACTGCACTCCACCTTGGGCCTCAAAGCAAGCCCCTGTATCTAGAAAAAAGAAAAAAAAAGTGTTAGCAAAAAGGAAAGATAACAATAGTGCTACGTGGCACTCAGCCTTGGCCTCACCTCTCTCTAGTGTAGTGACTTTGGCAAATTGTTTAGCCCTCAGTTTTACCATCTATAAACTGGGGTAATAATACTAAGCGTACAAGGTTGAGAATTAGGGTTCATTTAAATAAGGTTCTAGCACGTTATCTGCCCAGTGAGAAGCTTTCAAAATATGATGAGTTCAGTCAGTTCTCATTATTCATAGTAGCTATGTTTTATAAAGTTACCACCAACACTGCAATAGTGAATACTAGGGGCTCCTTGGGGAAATACACGGTTAGGTGACAACACTTTCACCAACCAGTTAACACATTACCTTATTTTATGTGTGTTTCTGTTCAAATACACCTTATTTAATATATATTAAATGCATACTAACCCACTCACATGAAATCATGGCCCACAGCACTATCACTCATATCTGAACGAAACCCATCTAACACATGTACTTTCTCTGCAAGCCCTGGCACAGCCCTCCTGCACTCAGAAGAACCAGCCAGCACCCATGCAGCACTATGCTTGGGACCATTTTATTTTATTCTTTAAAGAAAAAATTTAGAGACAGGGTCTCGCTCTGTCACCCAAGCTGGAGTACAGTGACATGATCATAGCTCACTGTAGCCTGGAACTCCTGGGCTCAAGCCATCCTCCGGCCTCAGCCTCCTGAGTAGCTGGGACTGCAGGGTGGTACCACCAGGCCTGGCTAATTTTTTAGTTTTTTGTAGAGATGGGGGTCTTGCTACATTGCCCAGTCTAGTCTCAAACTCCTGGCCTCAGGCAGTCCTCCTGTCTCAGCTTCCCAAAGTGCTGAGACTATAGGTGTTCACCACTAAGCCCATTGGGGACCACTTTAAATGGCAAAATCACCAACCAAAAGCACAAAAATGCAAAACATATGGCACTAATGAGACCTTGGGAGAAAGTACTCGTTGGCATTGTGAGAGCAGAAGCAAGAAGGCAGGGCAGCCCCTGCTTCCACCCCAGCTAAGAGCACATGTGTCAGACAACACACATTTCCCACCGCTCTGCGTGTGTCCACGAATGGCAGATAAAGTCTTATGAGTATTGGTTTTGGGATTATGAATAAATTTTAGCAAGTAGATGAACTTGCAAATAAGAAATCTGTGAATATGAGGACTGACTGCACTTAATAGAAGGATCAACTAGCGAGAAGAGCAGCTGAGTCCCAGGAAGAGCCAATTCAGAACCCCAGGGACTCGGAGTCACAAAAACTGGAGGAGGATCCAGGCTCCAGACCCCACCCTCTTACTCCTGCTTCAGTGAGAACACCTCCACTGCTATCTGTGTTGTCTTTTATGCTTCGGCCAAGACTCCCCTTGGATAAAGAATTCTACATCTAAAAAGAAACGCTGGAAAAGAGATGGCCTATGTGAGAATTATTATGAGAAGCAGCTTGATATCAAGGTTAAGGACACAGGCTCTGCAGTCTGACTACGTGGATTACCACTCTAGCTTCTTGACTGTATGATTGTGGGGGAGTCACTTAACACACTGTAGAATCACAATTCCATGCCCCCTAAAACGGTGGCGAGGAATACATGGGAAAATGCCTAAAGCCTAGAGAACGGTGCCCCACCAATAATATGAACCCAATCACTGGCTTTTCATTTTTATTACCTGCCAAGAATGATGTACCAGTGAAGATACAGGAGGCTTGGAGTGGCTTTTTCTTGACAGTGGGTGCTCCAGGGCTGGTGGGAAAAGGGCTCCCAAGGAAATAGAGTTCATTTTCTGGAGGGCTAGGAAATGATGGTCTCTGTTTTGTTTTGCTGTGTGTGTGTGTGTGTTTGTGTGTAAGGAATCATTTATCTGATTTGAGAAATGTATGTTTGGGTTGTTATCAAGATGTAAATGACTTTTCCAGGACTGTAGACAGAAAGCAAATATTTACCAGAGGCACCAACACAACAGTTTAATCATGCCTACAGTTGCATCTCATCTGCATATGCAAATCTACCCAAAAAAATAGATTGTACTGCTTTCTTGTCAATCTAGTTTCCCACTGGCACAGGTACTGTAGGGTGAACCAGGTCAGTGCTATCCCACCCCAGCCACACCCACAAACTCCCTCTCACAAGACTTAGAGCTAAAAATTAACCACTGGTACAAGGAAGAAATTTTCTATTTTCGTCAGCTGAGCCTTTTCCTGCTCTTAAAGTCCCCAAAACTGTCGTTCTTGGACTGCATTTTCACCTCCAGTTCAACTCAACTGCACAGCTCCTCAGTGTCTTCTCTCTACCAAGCCAGCATTCACAGTGCCCCTTGGACTTTCTTTTTGAGGCAGTTGGGCTGGTTCTTCTATGCAGAGAGGCATAGCTTCTCTCCCAAGGGAGCAAAAGAACTTCCAAGCACTGTTCCCACCTCCAATAGTCCTAGGTAAGATCTTCCAAGAGACACTGAACAGACACAGATTCGTTCTCTCAATCATACCAAAATGATGCCTCCTCCCCAAGCCACAGGAGAGCATACTGGCCAAAGAAGATTCCAGAGGAAAGTGCTGAACTAAACAACTGCCTATTAGATGCAAGCAGGTCAGATGAGGCTGCCGGTTAATAGTGAGATGTGCATCAATGTGCTAAATCACATTCCCCAAGGCAGCAAAGACGGGCTCCAGTGGGGAACGCACAGACCCCTAAAATTCCACTTTCCACAGACTCACAGACTCAGGCATCTTTGGAAATGGAAGTCACCTTAAAATCTACTTAATCACCTTCCCAACTTTCAGGTGAAATTAAGATATGGCCAAGACCATCCAGCCTCAGTAGAGAGCTTAAATGATATTTGTTATCCCTGCCTTTTGATTTGTAACACATCAAAAGCACACAAAAAAATTCAACTGTCCTAAATGTTAAGAAATACAGTTATCTGGATAGCCCAATATTAGCTCTTCAAGTGTTCAAAATTGTATTATTTTAACTTTTCCATGGAAATCTTTCTAAGGCATCCTTCAGAAACTGAGCAGAGGCCGGGTGTGGTGGCTCACACTTTCAATACCAGCAATTTTGGAAGCCGAGGCAGGTGTACTGCTTGAGCCCAGGAGCTCTAGACCAGCCTGGCCAACATGGAGAAACCTCATCTCTACTGAAAATAGTAAAATTAGCCAGGCGTGGTGGTGTGTGCCTATAGTCCCGCCTACCTGGGAGGCTGAGGTAGGAGGATTGCTTGAGCCTGGGAGGCAGAGGTTGCAGTGAGCTGAGATCACACCAGGTCACTGCAGTCCAGCCTGGGCCACAGAGGGAGACCCTGTCTCCAAAAAAGAAAAAAAAAGAAAGAAAGAAAAAGAAAAAAGAAAAGGAAAAAAGAAGAAAAGAAAGAAAGAGAAAGAAAGAAGGAAAGAAAGAGAAAGAAGGAAAGAAGGAAAGAAAGACAAAGAAGGAAAGAAAGAAAGAAAGAGAGAGAGAGAGAGAGAAAGAAAGAAAGAAAGAAAGAAAGAAAGAAAGAAAGAAAAAGAAAGAAAGAAAGAAAGAGAAAGAGAGAGAGAAAGAAAGAAAGGGAGGGAGGGAGGGAAAGGAAAGGAAAGGAAAGGAGAAAAGGAAGAAAAGAAAGAGAGAAAGAAAGAGAGAAAGAAAGAAAGAAAAAGAAAGAAAGAAAGAAAGAAAGAAAGAAAGAAAGAAAGAAAGAAAAAAGAAAGAAAGAAAGAAAGAAAGAAAAAGAAAGAAAGAGAAAAGGAAGGGAAGAGAGAAAGAAGAAGGAAGAAAGAAGGAAGGAAGGAAAGAAAGAAAGAAAGAGAGAAAGAAAGAAAGAAAGAAAGAAAGAAAGAAAGAAAGAAAGAAAGAAAGAAAGTTGTTAAGTTAAGTTGAAAGAGAGAGAAAGGAAGAAAGAAAGAAAAAGAAAGCAAGCAGAAAAGTCATACAGGCAGGAAGAGGACAAAGGCACCCAGCTGCCACTGGGGAATTGGGTTTTCTTTGTGAGAAAAGCAAAGGACTTCACCATTAGCTTCCTTTTTGCTCACAGGTCCTGAGCAATATGTCAGCAATATATCATACAATATGTGTGACATCAGCTGCAATCATATCCAACACATGTTCTCACCATCCAGGCAGGAAGGACTCATCTTCTTCCTTGTCATTGTTTCTACCGATGCCCTTTGACTTACTGATGCCTTTCAAAACATTACCAATAGTATCATGAACACAGTACCATAAATGTTCCCTGA